TGCTATTTGTAAGGCCTCGTTGGACAGCCAGTTTGCTTTCTTGCATTTCCTTTTCTTTGGGATGGTTTTTGTTGCTGCCTCCTGTACAATGTTACGAGCCTCTATCCAAAGTTCTTCAGGCACTCTGTCCACCAAATCTAGTTCCTTAAATCTGTTCTTCACTTCTACTGTGTATTCGTAAGGGATTTGGTTTAGATTATACCTGAGTGGCCCAGTAGTTTTTCCTACTGTCTTCAGTTTAAGCTTGAATTTTGCTATGAGAAGCTGATGATCAGAGCCACAATCAGCTCCAGGTCTTGTTTTTGCTGACTGTATAGAGCTTCTCCATCTTTGGCTGCAGAGAATATAGTCAATCTGATTTCGATGTTGCCCATCTGGTGATTTCCATGTGTAGAGTCGCCTCTTGTGTTGTTGGAAAAGGGTGTTTGTGATGACCAGCTTGTTCTCTTGACAAAACTCTATTAGCCTTTGCCCTGCTTCGTTTTGAACTCCAAGGCCAAACTTCCCTGTTGTTCCTTTTATCTTTTGACTCCCTACCTTAGCATTCCAGTCCCCCAGAATGAGAAGAACATCCTTCTTCGGTGTCAGTTCTAGAAGGTGTTGTAAATCTTCATAAAATTGTTCAATTTCAGTCTCCTCAGCAATGGAGGTTGGTGCATAAACTTGGATTATTGTGATGTTGAAAGGTCTGCCTTGGATACGTATTGACATCATTCTATCATTTTTGAGATTATATCCCATTATGGCTTTTCCCACTCTTTTGTTGACTATGAGGGCTACTCCATTCCTTCTACGGGATTCTTGCCCACAATAGTAGACATGATAATCATCTGAGTTGAAATCACCCATTCCCATCCATTTTAGTTCACTGATGCCCAGAATGTCGATGTTTATTCTTGCCATCTCCTGTTTGACCACCTCCAGCTTCCCAAGGTTCATAGATCTTACATTCCAGGTTCCTATGCAGTATTCTTCTTTCCAGCATCGGACTTTCCTTTCACTTCCAGGCACGTCCACAGCTGAGCGTCCTTTCGGCTTTGGCCCAACCACTTCATTAGCTCTGGAGCTACTTGTACTTGTCCTCCGCTCTTCCTCAGTAGCATGTTGGACGCCTTCCGACCTGAGGGGCCCATCTTCCAGCATCATATCTTTTAGCCTTTTGTTTCTGATCATGGGGCATTCTTGGCAAAGATACTGGAGTGGAATTGCCGGTTCCTACCCCAGGTGGATTGCGTTTAGTCAGAACTCTCCACAGACCACCAGACCACAGACCACCAGAAAGGCAAATAAGTGGGCCCTCAAACATCTAAAGTCTGAACTCTCACTAGAGCAAAAGTGAATAAACTGAGGCTATCCTGCCTTGCACATTTGATGAGAATACAGAACTGACTGGAAAATACAATATTACTGAGAAAAATGGTTTCTGGGCAGGGGTAGTAGGAAGAGAGAGCAACCTAACATGATGCAAATGTACAGTAGAAGAGAGGATACTTTTATTTAAACCACTAAAAATCAAACACTCAGTGCAATGAGCAAATTCTCTTCTAAATCTGTATTGTCAAAAGGATTTTTGGAGGGTTTTTTGTAACAGAACATGAGATGCTGATGGTTTACAAGATCTGAGCAGAGTTGTTAATGATAGGACATTTGGAAGGCCATTAACTCATGTAGTCATCACGCATCAGAAGGGACTTGATGGCACAAAACATCTTTGGAGTATTTTTTTAAATTACAAAGCAATTGTATAGTGATAAGATGGGTAGAATGGAGACTATGACAGGATACTATAACTGGGTATAGGCACCAAAACTCTGCTAATATCAAATAAGAGCATCCCCATTCACAAAGCAAAAAAAGCAGTAATTTCACAACTTAAACAAGTGAACTTATGAATATTTGTTCTGTATTTTTTAAAAATATATTTAAATATAGAGCTTAAATAAATAAAAATATTTTTAAATATAGTTTCAATATTAATTATATTTTAATTGTTTTTTTCTTTTTTTACTGTATTTTAATAATTGTAAGCCACCCAGAGACCTTTGGGTAGTGTGGGCAGCATATAAGTTAAATAAATAAATAAATAAATAAATAAATAAATAAATAAATAAATAAATAAATAAATAAATAATTTTTTATAAAGAAATATTATTTTTATGTCTTCACTTCTGCAACCAGACACAGATACCCTTGTAAGCATGATTCCGATAAGCCTGTTTGGCCACGAAGGAGTTAAAAAGTTTAAAAGTTAGCCAAGGACATGACTGCATGTTGAAATACTTTTTTTCATTTTGTTTAGTATGTTTAAAATTAAATAATAATCTCCAACTACATAACATACAGCTAAGCGCACATTTTTTTCAACAAGGAAGTGGGTTTTTTAAACACCCGCTTTGGGGTCATTTATTTTGAATAAGGTCCGGTTATGCTTTATTTTACTTCATTTAGCATGTCTGATCAAGTACCTGTGTAAGAGTAAATCGTACAATGGATTACCAAGTACAGTGGATTCTGGATTGCAGTCTAAACGCTTCCTTTTTCGCCTATGTGTTTCTATTTTAATGCTGCATTGATCTAGCACTATGGCAGTTATATATATACTCTAAGAGCTATATATAAACACAGTTTACCATGTATGATAATTCTTCAAGGGTAGAGGCCAGAGGAAATAACTCTTAGAGTAATTGTGGGATGTGCTGCAGGCTGCTGATAGTGGTTTTGCTGAATAAAAGCTGCTGAGTCTGGCATCAGCTGCCTCAAGGCAGACAGGCTCCACCTTGAGAACAGGGTGAACAAGTTCCCAGCACAGGGCAAAAATAGGAAAAATGGGGATTGAGGACACAGAAGTGCCAATGTATCATATAGCTTACCATCAGACTAAAAGTTGTTCCCTGTGGATATGCACTCTGACACAAAAACCACATGGCATTAAACTGATTTCTAAAAACCACACCAGCTCCTGATTTAATTCAACAGTGTAGACATGGTCTAAGAGTCAGTTAATTGTGTCCTGATTAACAGGGTCATGAATTCAGATTTCTCCTCACATGGAGGTAATTTCCTATTGTGAGAGGAGACTGTTTTGTCTCAGAAATGCGAATAGAACATTTGCTGAAGATACTTGGAAAAATATCCTATTTCTAGAGGACTGTCACCCCAAACCTATCCTTTAAAACAGTGGTCCCCAACCTTGGGCCTCCAGATGTTCTTGGACTACAACTCCCAGAAGCCTTCACCACCACCTCTGCTGTCCAGGATTTCTGGGACTTGAAATCCAATAGCACCTGGAGGCCCAAGGTTGGAGACCACTGCTTTAAAACAACTCTTTAAAGAAAACCTGCCTTTTCACTCTGTTTCTGTGATCTTTCCCACTAAACATCTCCTTCCTTACCTACAGATATATTCAATGTTTCATTTCGCTCCTGCTGGCAAGCCTGTATCACACATGATCAGACTTATGACAAAGTAGCTGTTTTTCTCTTTTGAAACACCTTTGTTTGATGATAAATACTTCAGCCACTGCAGCCTGAGTTATTTCCAAATTTGAAAAAGTGGGTGGGGCCAACTGTTCTCTTTCAAGATAAGCAAGATTGGTCCTTTCAATTTATGTCATCTGTTTTAAATCTGAGGATATTTAGGGCCATCTGTTTCTGAATAGGGGGGATAAAACAAATTTATCATTATTTTTAATTGTAACTTGAAAACGCTTTCTCAAACTTCGCAAGACTGTCTGCTATAACTGTGACAAATTCAGTTCTGATCTGAAGCCCAATTTAAAAGTTATATTTTTTTTGTTGCCCCCATTTTTAGAATTGCTTTATAGAATGTTAATTTGCTCTGCCTATACAAGCTCACTGCTTCACTTTTGGTGCAGTAATAATATGTCAAGGAGAAATTTCCCCTAATTTGTAATAATTATAGATTTAGTAAGATGACATGGAACAGTCTCTAAACTGTGGTTTTATATGTTTCATCAGAGAGAATCAAACTTTAGTGAGACTTTTTAGTTAAATAAACATAAAACTATCCTTATGAGAAAATGAGGTAAATAAGAGTAGTATAGTTGAAGCAATCTTCAGAAATTTAGGCTTAAATTCTCAGTAACGTTTGTCTCCTCATTCTTGAATGCAGAAATACTGCACATAGATTTGACGCTTAGAGTTAATAATGAAAGCAATTTTCACTAAAAATATAAAAACTGTAATGGTAGAATCATGATATTGCATTGAGCTCTCCCACCAAAAAAAAAGTCACTTTATTACTTTCTTTTGACACTTATTTTCATTCTGGGATTAATTTTACTATATAAGGGCTTCTTAACTATTCTATTAAAATTTCCATTCAGAAGCAATAATATCTAAGAGTGAATAATGGTCATGTAAATCATTATTTCATATTAATGTAAAAGATTTTGTACGTTCTTATGAATTTTGCTGACATGCAGAATTGTGAAAAGGTTATCTCTACTTTCTACAGTGATATGCGCTGGAACAAAGGAACTATTTTAAAAGCATCAGTGGAGTATATCAAGTGGTTACAAAAAGAACAACAAAGAGGCCGAGAATTAGAACACAGACAGAAGAAATTAGAGCAGGCTAACCAGCGACTTTTGCTTCGAATTCAGGTTTGTACAGGAATGTATCCGCTCAGATCCAAGCTCCCCGCCCCCCAATTCTCCTCACAGTTTATCCAATTTCATGTTTTATTCTAAATACGTTTTGGGAAGCAATGCTACAAATTTATATGCCTTGTGATCCAAGAGCTTTAATTTTGCAGGAAAGTTATGCATTCTGTAAGAAAACATATTTCAGAAACAAATAATATTGAGATTGGGTATATCTTCTACCTATATTAAACCCAGATTGTGTGTGAGAATGAGGATTTCATTTGTTTGTTTAAAGTAGTATTTGAAGGCACAAGACTCCAGTGTGCCAGTTTTATACTTTGAAAAATGTCCATGACATTGTGTTACCTTGGGGTACAAGGTGCCACATTAAATTAAGTCGCGCATCATCTTCCAGTGACTTTCTATTGCTCAGCACATGATTTACAACATACTTAATTGGGTAAGGTATCTGGTCTGCTTCTAGATAGCATTCCTGAATTTTGGTAGATGATTAGCGAGCAGAAATGCCGGCAGAATTTTTCTCATCACTTTTCAAGTACTTAATGCAAAGCACAATCCATTCACAGTTAAGAGTTTTGGAGTGCTGCTGATTACAATGGGAGAGATTAAGTGTATGCTTAACTTTCCCATTAAACTCAATATGATTCTGAATGGAATAATTTTGGCTGAATCATATACATAACCCTTACAAATGGGAAATTATTTGCTTACCTTGGATTATCAATATGCCATCAAGTCACTTCTGACTTCTGCCAGCCTTATGAATTACAGACCTCCAAAAAGTCCAGTTATTAACAGTCCTGCTCAGCTTTTGCAAACTCAAGGTTGTGACTTCCTTTAGTGAGTGAATCCATTGCTTGGATTGGATCAATCTGGGATATTATAATTAGGCATCCCAGATTAGCTAAATTGTAATTCAAAGTACAAAGAGATCAGATATAGATATGTAAACCGTATCCTGATCCATCCTCAATTGCATTGTGTGGGTATTTGTCCTTTTGTACTTGCTTTGGGTTTGCTAAACCGAAAAGGAAGAAGACATGGACATACTTTGTGCAAATTGCCTGAAGCACAACCGAGACAGTACTTGGTATATTGCTTTCATATCAAGATCTCTCACTGGGGCTTCTGAATCCTCAGCAGGCTTTCTCGTTGCACTGAGACAACTTGCTTTAAATGAGAGTTTGGCAAAAATTTCTTCTCTTCTCCTCTCTACACTTAATGCAGCTGCATTGAATTCATTAGGAATTATTTACAGGCAAATACACATAGGATTATACTGAAGTCTGCCATTCAAATAAGGTCTAAAGGTGTGTGATCTGAGTATAATATACAATGGCCAGTATTCTGTTGCGTAATTCAACTAGTGCAATAGGTGTGGGAAGCTAACAAGCCTAAAACTTCTCTAGGGACATTCATGTAATGAGGAACCATATTTTCTCATTATATCCGAATGCTGTTATTGTGTATTTTTTTAAAAAAAAATCACATGGTCAGTAATGATATAGTCAATAGAACAATGGACTAGGACTTGAATCTCCACTAAGCCATGGAAACTGACCGGGAGACTGGAACTGGCCAAATCTCTCCTTAAATATCTCACTTACCTTAAAAACCCTCATGGGTCACTATAAGTCGATTCTAACTTACTGCATGTACAACAGTAACAGCATTAATATGGTCCAGTTTCAGAACTGCATCATATGTAGAGTTTCTCATTGCTTGTACATTTATTTTTAAATGTTATGGTTTAAGGTGTACCTCAAAGCAGGATGTTAGTTATCCTTATAAAATTCTAGAAGTATGTTTCTGACTAGTTGCTTCAAAAAAATTCAAGGTACAACAAAAGCCAGTAGCATAAAAAGCTAGAGTTTAGTTACGCCATGAAGACATGAAGTTCTCATGTTGTTACAACTTTAATGTGCCCTAGTTATAGCTTTATTACTGGAAAAGGAATAAATTAAAAAGGAATTAACTTTTTAACAGGTGAGTTGTAAATTTTGGGCTTCACATATGTCATTGACCTATGTCCATGATTATTCTTTTGAAGTGAATCTCTAAATATTCTTCTCTCCAACCACAGGAACTAGAAATTCAAGCACGAGCCCATGGCTTACCAATCATGTCTTCTATCAGTGCTGTAGATTTAGCGTCCCATGTCATGAAACAACAGGCATATCAAGAAGAGAATTCGGTAGATTATGCACAACATCTTTCGGTGGTCCAGCAACAGCACTCTGACCTCAGTGACAGATCTGCAGCTTTTTCTGATCCCCTCTCACACTTCACAGATCTGTCATTTAGTGCTGCTTTAAAAGAACAGCGGTTGGACGAAATCTTACTGGATGATACAATATCACCCTTTGGGACAGATCCACTCTTATCTTCTGTATCTCCGGCCATGTCCAAAGGGAGCAGTCGAAGAAGCAGCTTTAGTTCAGATGATGGCGATGATGTATAACATGGAAAAAGACTCCATAGTTACAGTGTTCTTGTTCATTTTGCTTGTACTTCAGTGGTGCTGTAAAAAGTTAGTATTGTTGTCATTAGAACCTGTTTTGGAATGTGAAATATAGAGGCAGGAATCTGCTGCAGAAAACTGAACAATAGGAAGAGAAGTATGCCATGACTTGGAAGTCATCATATCTAAACTTCACAGCCGATGTTGAAACTGGATCTTGTCTGTTCACTAGCAGTGCTAAAGGAAGCTTGGGAAATTTACATTTTTTGGATTACTAAATTCCCCAGCCAGTGATCTGGGCAGTTGTAAAAGCAAGCAAGCAAGCAAGGGCAATTGTCCCTAAAGGCAGGTTTCCTTGCAGAATTATGGTTTTTAGCATGAGGAGCCAGACCTACCATGTCTCCCTGAAAACTGATAGCAGACTGAATCTGAACTCATCTTAAGAAGCTAACCTGTTCTGAACAACAGTTATGAAACTTTGGGACTCTAATATATAATTTTCTGAACTACCCACAGAATCTTGGTGCACAGCCAGAGGAAGATGAATTATCATCAAAAGCTAGCTGTCTGCTGTTTGCCTTGTTTTTTTTTTAAAGGAGTCTAACAAAGGTATCTTACTCCCTCCTCGTTTCTATTCCTGATCACTGTGTAAGAATGGCACCCATTCCCACACATTATGCCCCTGGGGTGACAACACTATTTTTAAAGTATAGGAAACCTATTTTTTGGGCTATGGCTTCCAAAATCCTCTCTTGGGCTTTAACATCTAGTGGCCACAGTGGCTGGGAAATTCTGGGAGTTGTAGTTCTAACTCTTCCAAGCTCTGACTGTTTCACTGTATAGCACTGTTCTGAGGTAAATTGTAGTTTTTCAGAATGGGCATTTTAGAAGTACAGTTCCTGAAGAAAGACTCATATGGAAAGTTATAAGATGGGAGAGTGATGAGGATTCGATGGCATAAGTGATGGGAGAAAGTCCCCCTAAACTTGCAGATTATCCTGATCATCTCAGGCTTTTTAAAAGCATATGAACAGATGTAGTTTTGTTCTGAAACACTGCAAAACTGGCAACATTCTTTTATATGTTTCTGTGATGGGCACATAGATGCAAAGTACGTTGCTTGCCTGTAAAGCAGACAGCAGATGTTTGTAGAATGTATTGTGAATATTCATTGGATTATTATAAATTATAAGGCAGAGAATGCTGTTTTAAAAATCCGTTACTTGGATATTCCAAATAGTTTAGTGCAAGGAAAGAAAGAAAGATGGTTTTGGGGGTCAAGGAGAACAAAGCAACACAATACAGAGTCCTTGCACTTGCAATGTTACACACTGTGTATATTGAAATGGTTCAAAAAGCAGGAGTTCAAAAGCCCTTCATCCTCCTCATTGGAGGCAGCAGTGATTAATCTTTCATTTCTAGCTATGACAATTGCAGCTAAATGAAATGTAAGATCTATATCTTATTGACTTTGCTAAACTGTAGCCCAAGTCTTTTGAATGGTACAACATATTTTTGCTATCCCTATACTGAAAAAAAAACCTGGATGAAGGGGTGGGATGTACATTTTTAGATGACAAAATCAGACTTCCTGCTGAGACTTCATTCGTCTAGATTTACTATCCAAATACTGAAGCCAGTTGACCTTATTATCACAGTGGACTATTAGTATAACTACCTATATGTTTTATGATAGTGATACAGTGCAATGGACTTTCAGAAAGCATGTAGATGGATGAGGCAATAGAGGTTTAGCAGTGAGAGTGCATGAGTTACATCATTTTTTCATCTAGTGCAATCCTGTAATGTGGGCTCTTGAAGTAAACAAACTGAATAATTCTGCATGAAATGCTGGCATACAACAATAAGAAATAAGCTGCATTCTTTGATTTTATTGGAATGCACTCTGGTGTAGAGTGCAATATAAATAAATATTATTATTATTCATTGTGCCCAACCTGGATCACAGAAAACTTTAGAAAGCTGTTTCCAAATAGTGTTGCACAAAAATCTGGATCATGTTATTTTTACAAAGACAAGAGGTAAGTCCTTATAGGAGATAAATCGAATATGGATAGACTACACAATTTTCTCTTTCAAAGGACCAAGGTACTGGGTGAGTTCTCTGAACTCTCTTGTTTTTAGGAGATCCCGATTTATCTCACACCTCCACAAAACAGACAAAATATACATGCATTCCAGTTTCCCGTGTTCACTTGCATTTTTTTAAATGTAACTCAGTTGTGAAAAGCTAGCAAGAAAATTCTCTGACTTGTTGCAATAAGCAGCATTCCAGCGTGATTTGCACCAATCTCAGTAATAATTGCTGTGCAAATTGTGTTAAATACCTGCATTGTGCCTTTGGCTGCAAGACTTGTGCCTTTTTATTATTTCACTGAGACTCAGCACCTAGGAAGCTCAAGCCCTAGGAGATCTCATATTGAGCTCTTTATAGAAAGGAGATGGAGCTTTCCATCTTAGTTCATGCAACATTTCCAGGAACAAGAAAGGAAGATAGACTGGATTAATATTTGAGAGGCTGCTACCAGTGCAGTTTATGGGAAATATGATCAAAAGGCTTCCAATGCAGCTTTAATCAAGTCTTAGTAATAAGTATGGGCTCTTCATATGGTAGAGGGTGTAGGAACATTTCACTGGAATATTCATTGGAGCAGGAGAAATGGATATTTTCTGCCCTTTTCTCTCGTAACAGATATACCAGACTCATCTTACTCCTCCAGTACACATGAAACAGTAAATACACTGTTATTAAAAGTGTGTGTGAGAGAATGGAAATACGGCTGTCCTGTTTAATTCATGAAATGGACATTGATAGCAATCAGACCCATTTCTTTTTTAAAAAAGCAATCAAATGCTAAAATATTTTCTGGCCTACAATGTAGATATGAAGTGCTAAATAAGTGAATTTGTTTTTTGAAAAAAGAATGTTTTTGCTTTATAGTTTAAAAGATGAATAATTCAGGCAGTTAATCTTAATAAGAACATTGTTATTATAATACACTTGACTGTTATAGGACTGTATATAAAATGGAGGGTGTAAAATTATTGTAATTTATAATTATGTTAAGTCTTTTTAGATCAGTTAAAGCATTTGCATTGCTATTGTGAGACAGTAGAATCATTTTTATAGTGATTGCTGTTTTTCCACTGTTAATATAATCATTGTTTTCTAAGTAACTTGGTACAACAAAATATGCTTTACTACATCCTTGTATGCAATTATTATTAAAATACTTTTTAATATGAGCTCGGTTTTCCCCCTTATTATAATAGGTATACCGTTATCAACTGGAAACTAAAATAGGTATTTGTGCAGACTGTATGGAGTTGCTTTGTTTAGATTGACACTGGCCATCTTCTCTGGTACAAAAAATACAATAACACTAGCTAAGCCCAAATAAGGGGAATACTTAGGACAAGCAAAGCTGAGCAACAGTTACACATTGAATCCATTAGAAGACGTTGTAATCCAGTATTCAGCCATTATACTGTACATATAACATGCCATCTTTTTCCTTCTGTTTGTTCCTCCTGTTTAAGGCTTTGATTTATGGGAAACATTTTCAAAATGTTGCATAAATGCCAGTAGGCAAGATGGTATCAGTTAATTTGCGAAGAAGCTCCACAAAATCTTTTCAATGTACTGTACTAGATGTCCCCAGACAATCTAGGATAAACCGCATATTGTACTTCAGGATGTAAAACATTTCAGAAAGCTGATAATTGGGCAACATTTTGAGTGTTCCGAAGATGCCTGTGTCTAATGGATTTCATTAAGAATTTGAGCATTAGCACTGACATTCCTAGTACAATGTATGTTTATGTATATAATGGAATAGTGAGCAATAATGACATAGGAAATAATTTAACAATAACTTTGAGCTTGGGTGCATCTTTTTAAAAAAAATACTTTTTTAAAAAAGACCATTAGTTATATATCAGATTTATTTGCTTTGGAATTATTTAATTATAACTCTTCTAATGTGTATGTTTCAAACAGTAGATATTCATTGGCACTGTTGCACAAAATTTAGAATTTGGTGAATTAGAAAAGGAGATCTAAGTTCTGCACATGGTAGCATACTTGGGATCAAAATCTACAGATTATTAGTGTGTTTGAAGCCAAAGAATAACCAGCAGACACAACAGAATTGGTTCCTCAAAGGTTACAGAATTAGTTCCTCAAAGGTTAACTACCACGAGGAAACTGAATTATAATATAGAAATTAAGAAAATGTGGTATGGTGCCTGTTTGATTAGAAATAGTGACATTAATAGAAATCTTTCAATGAAATTTGATGTCAGCATCATTTGTATTGACAATGACAATGTTGATTCAATGTTGATTAGGGAGGAACCTGGGAAGTTTTGGTGATAATCAGTGTGAGGCCCACAAATCTAATCAGGAATGCTTCTGTGCCAACCAGTAGTGGTTGAATCACTAGTAGCCATCAACTTAAATATATGTCAGTTTCGTTAATTGGCAACTACAAGACAAGTGCAGAATGCTCAGGATGGCGGGGATTCTGATACAAGCCACCACATTGTGGTTAAGTATATGATTCATGTAATAAGAAAAAGGTGCCTGCAGGCTATTGTTCCTGGCATGGATTAAAATTTGCATATTGTCTCTCCTTATGTAAAAACATCTGGTGCCTGCAAATGCTAACATTTTGTTAAAAAGTTTCAAGAGCTAGGAAAAGTGGACTGGAAAAATTGCATGTGACTCATTTGAGCATTATAATTGAATAAGAGGCTAGGTTGGGAAGAGAAAGAGCACAGAAAAACAAATGTATAGAGAACATTAAGGATTCATGGGGAGTGCATATACAGTGTGAGAGAGGGACATTCTTCACATCACTCAAGAACTAGATTTTCCCTCCAGATTTCATTAAAAATGACAATTGCTCTTATTGAGGTCATATGTGACATCGGTGTGTCATTATTAAGATAATATAAAGATATTAATTTATGTCAGAAATTTAAGGGGGATATTTTATTCAGCAAACATTATTAATTCAAGTACTGAATGTCCTGTTATCCAGAGCACCCACTGCAAACGATTCCTAAACAGACACCACAACCATACATAAAACTAAGGTCAGCTAAGTTTCCAAATCCATACAAGGATAATTTTAACATCTCATCCTGTCTCATTTAATAGGACCAAAGGACTGAATTTGGAACGACAGATATCATGTTGCCAAATCTGGACAGCCTAATTTGAAAAATGTGCAATTCTATATACTATGCAAATCAAATTGCATTTTTAAAAACTGGTATGTTTCATTCTTGGCACCATTTGAAGACTTATGTCAGAAATCCTGATAAAATCCTTACTGAAAGCACTCAGGGTTGGGACAAATACAATTGCTCTCTGCTTTTGTAATGCAGAAATATATGCCTTGCAAAACTCTATGCTAATGTCCTAGAGATACATGTCAAAATGTCCTCTTTTTTGGACGACGCCACCACCATTACTTTCTTTAAGGCAAGCCTCTTTTTTTGACTCTTCAAAGAAAATCTGTCTTCTGACTCTCTTTCTGTGACCTTTCATTACCTCCATCTATGTCCCTTTCTGGGCCACGAAGCTACATCAATATATCTACTTTGTAACACTCTTGCTGTTAAGCTTGTCCTACACATGCTGAGTTTATAATAAGGTCACTATTTTACCTTTTTGAATGGACTTTTTTGAGAATCAATATTTCAGCCCCTGCAGCCTGGATTCCTTCAAAATAAAAGATTAAAAAACCTAGGTAGGACCAACTGTTCTCTTTCAAGATAAGCAAAATCAGTCTTTTCAGTTTATTTGATCTGTTTTAAATCTGAGAGTGGTTATGGCTGCTTGTTTCTGCATGGAGTTAAAAATTTTTTACTTGCTTAAAAATCAAAACTTTGCCTAAACTTCTCCAAATTTGGCATGGTGCAGAAGCAGACTGTCCACTATAACTGTGCCAAATTTGGTGCTGATCTGAAGTCCAATTTTAAATTTATAATACTTTATTTGGCCTGCCGCCACTTTTAGAATGACCTTGTAGAATATTTGATTTGCTCTGCTGCACAATAATGTAGCTGCACTACTGTGCGGTTATAATGAATTCCCCAAAAGTACCATGCCAAAATCTAATTTTCATGGGGAAAGGGGTATAGTAAAGTGAGGTCAAACTACAGGAATCACAAGCTGAAATATAAATGGAATTTCCTTCAGAGATGCAGATTAAATATTTTATTATGCAAAAACACCCTAGTTTAACCTTCTGATTTGATGTTTCATCACAGTACATTAATCAGCTCATCTATGCTATGATATCTGGGCTAACAGCTATGATTTGCTAGTGACCACATTTAAGGTAATGATAACTGTTTGTACGATTTGTATTTCCATGCCCTGTCATCACACTAATGATTCTGTCCCAACAAAATAGTATATAATAAATGAGGCTATGCTCCATATATCTGATAAAAGTGAGCTACGGTCCAGGAAGGTTTATGACAAATAAAAGTTATCAGTGTTTATAATGCAAGACTCTTGGCTGCTTTTGCTACAAAGGACTGTCGTGATTCCACGTGGCCCCTGATGATTTCACCAAACTAGGAGCTCACGCTACACGCCCCTCAGCTGCCACCAATTGATTTCATCAGCAATACCTATTATTAATAATACATGTCTAGACCATATGTCATTTTAAAAGAACCAAATTGAAATTATTTATTGATCCAGGTGTTGACAGAATAAACAATGTTGTTAACTCTTAAACAAACATTCTTCTTTATCCACCCTCAACCACCATTCTCCTGCCCAAACACCAAAACTCTCTCAACTTTCTAACTTTATAATTCTCCATCTCAAAGCCCTATCTAAATCTTATCTCAACTCCTCCTGCTGCTGATGTGTCTCTTATACCTCGTGACTCTGCCCCTCCAGCACTCCCATTGGTCTATGCTAATAGCACATGAATATTCATGTCCTGGGCGAACGCCACAGGGACTATTACAGCTATTTCTCTGAAAAAACGAAAAGGTGCTTATTTGTGTAAGAAATATATACCTTTCAAAGCGTGCTGCTTTGAAAGGTATATTTATCCAGTGTGGCAGAAATGTTTCTCCACTACTTAAAAATATCCTTCCATATTTTGCACCCACTTTTCCAAAACAGGAATCCTATTACCCTACACCCAATAGCTGCTCTCTTTTTTTGGCTTGCTGCTGTGGGCTGCATTGGAGGTCATTTTTTTGGACTATGCCCACTCCCCCCCCCCATTTATTCCTAGTGCTTCACTACTTTCTATGCTTGCAGATTATTCTTTGAAACAAACTTCATTTGTCTGCAAACAAGGTAGAATAAGATTGTTATGCCAACACATGATGTCATGCCAACACATGAGGTCCCTCCTGTCTGTCCATCATGAAAGCTCCAAAGGGAGGAGCCAATGACAGGGCAGGAAGGGTGGGGTAAAAAGGAGACAGTGGAGAAAAAAAATGACAGTTAAGAGTTAGAGAGAGAAGGAAGATGACGGTTAGGAGTTAAGAAAGAAGGAAAAGATAGATAGTGATTTGGAAAGGGAGAGTTAGGAGAGGGAATTGAGAAGGTTAATACATACGTAGATCGAACAGTTAGAATGATAAAGAGAAGAGAGAAAGAGTTATAAGTAATAGAGAATGGATAATTAGCAAAAGTATATTGTTGTTCTGAATAAAGGTACCATCAAACCAATGCATAAACAAATCCTATTTAATGAATACAGAACATCTGTGATTTACCCATTGTGATTTATATGACAATAAAAGAACATCTGTAATTTAAACCTCTGATTCTCAAACTCAAAAGTTCAATAAATCTGTTATACTTGGCAGCACACGTGTCTGAAATACATAATTGGTATTAGCTGAATAATACTTCGTGGCAGTGTGTAAAGTGGAAATGCATCCAGAGGGATGATATGTTTAAGGGAGATTAAACAGGGGCGCTGGGAGGACACAGCAAAGTGGTGGCAGCGGGAAGAGAAAACGACATGAGCCTTTGTGAGGGCAAAATAAGCAGGGGCCACAAGGGCGAACGCCCTGCAACGTATACCTGGGAATTGCAAGCTCTTTTTTTTTTATTTAAGGGAGATTAAACAGGGGCGCTGGGTGGACGCGGCAAAGTGGTGGCAGCGAGAAGAGAAAACGACATGAG